AAGTATTGGACTAGTGGGTTCAATGTGGGTGGATTGCGGCAGAATCAGATCATCATATCCCACATTTTGTACACAGATGACACCCTCGTTTTATCTGATGCAGATGAATAACAACAATTAAGGTATCTGAAGAATCGTTGTTTGAAGCTGTTTCTAACGCCTCCATATTATCTTGAGCAGAAACTGCATATACACTGTCAACTCTGCCCAAGGACTTCAAAGAAATGACAGTGTTGGTTGCAGTCTAGAGTCCCTCCCAACTACTTACTTGGAACTGGTTTTAGGAGCCAATCACAAACCTAGAAAAAGGGTGAATGGGGAAGTTGAAAGAAGACCCTCGAATTGAAAAAAGCAATACTTGTCCCTTGTGGACTAGATGCACTCTTACATGATGTCCATCTTTCCGGCTGTATCCATGCAACAAAGATTTGACAGAGTGAGAAGAATTGTCTGTGGGAAGGCAATAAAGAGAGGAGAGATTATCAGTAATCATCTGGGACACTGAAAAAAGGATAGAAGTCTTGAATTAATCCTGAGAGCTCTTAGTAAGCGCTTCTATAAAAAAAAGGTTGTGGAGATGCAGCAATAATGAATACACTTTGGAGAAATATCCAAGCAAAGCTTGGCACTCAGAACCCTTGGTGTACCAGGCCAAGTAGCTACACATATCGGATTGGTGTCTAGAGATGCATCAGAAACTTATGGGAAGAGTTTTGTGCTAAGACTCACTTCAAAGTTGGAAATGGAAGGACGATATCCTTCCGGCAGATGAATGTCAAGACATTGCACCCTTTATAGAGCAATTTCCTGCATTGTTCTTTTTGGAGCCAACTCTGAGATACAGCGGGCCAATGACACTCCACTGGCGGGAAAATATGGTCATAAGAAATTATTTTATTGGGAGTTGGACTGTACAGAAAAAGTTGTCAGAAGATTAGAAGAAGTACAGATTTCTTCAGAACATTTAAATGTGCTATTGTCAAGGCAAAAAGTGGCATTTTCACAATAGAATCTTGCTTCTGTAATCTCCTCTCTATCCAACAATCAATGGCATGGAAGAAGATACAAAAATAAAAGCGCCAACTAAGGTTGCTTGTTTTTAGTAGACACAGACAAACTACAAACAAAGGGCATCACTCTGCAGGTAATACTTCCTGTTTGAAGTAGACAATAAGATCTTTCTACTTCTGCACTGTCCAGTGTTGTGAAAAGCGCGAAGCGAAGCGAAGCGAGACCTCGGGCGCTTCTGTGATGTGACGCGTAGCAGGTTGAATAAAGCGAGCGCTTCTGCGTGCTTCTGCAAAAAAAGCGAGAAGCGTAAAAGCGACAGAAGCGAGCGCTTCTACATATTAAGGGCTGCCAACGTTAAAAATTTAAAAAGTTTATCAAGTTCAAGCCCAGGTATGTGATTTCTTCCTCCTCCTTCTTCTTCTTCTTTTTCTTTTTTTTTCACTGTGTCAGTCCCAAAATAGCAGCGAAATGCTGGCAAATTTTTTTTTTCCCTTCAGTTCTTTTTCTCATTCTCTTCTTCATCTTCTTCTTCTTTTTCTTTCACTATTTCAGTGATAAATTGCAGCGAAATGCTGCCAAATTTTTTTCGTTTCAGTTACTGCCATTTTTTTCGTATACTTACTCCCATTTTTTCGTTTTATGTAATCTTGTAGAATAATAGGATGCTCATTTTGTGCTTTAATTGATGCTACTCTTTAGCTTTTACATTGAAGTATTGAACATTTGCTTACAGTTACATGCGTTGTCTATGCAGTATTTATTTTAATTTTTTTTTTTTAAACTCCGCTTCAATTCAAAAAAGCGAGCGCTTCGCTTCTCACTTTAAACGAAAAGGGGCTTGTCGCTTTTCCTCGCTTCACGCTCTTCACAGCCCCATTATTGGGTCTTTCCTAAATGTTCTTAGAGTAGATTGAGCTATGCCCAGACAGTAAATGAACTTCTGATGTGCTGGACAGGATGGAGTTCTAAGCAGAGAAAAAAGATCTGGAACACTTTACCGCCACTATTTTGCGGGTTCTCAAGAAGGAAAGAATTCTATGATGTGAAACGACCCGACCGGTCGTTTTGAGCTCTAGCGTGTCGTTCGGCGGTTTGAGGCCTCAAGTAGCTTCACTTCATGTTTTATTACTTGTACGTGTGGTCAAAATAGAATTTCGGGAAGTTCGGAGTTGTTTCGGAAGGAAAATTGACCGAGGTTTGACTTTTGAGAAAACGACTCCGGAATGGAATTTTTATGATTTCAATAGCTTCGTATGGCGATTTCGTACTTAGGCGTATGTTCGGATTTAGATTTGGAAGTCCGTAGGACAATTCGGCGCATTTTGGCTAATAGTTGGAAAGTTGAAGTTTTGAAATATTCATAAATTTGACCGGAAGTTGACTTGGTTGATGTCGAGCTCGGATTTCGATTCCAGAAATTGGAACAGGTCCATTATGTCATTTATGACTTGTGTGCAAAATTTGAAGTCATTCCGGATTGATTTGATACGCTTCGGCGCAAATTATAGAATTTGAAAATTTCATAACTCATAATTCGATTCGAGGCGCGATTCGTAGTTTCGGTGTTATTTGATGTGATTTGAGGCCTCGACTAAGTTTGTATCATGTTTTGGGACTTGTTGGTATGATTTAACGGGGTCCCGAGGGGCTTGGGTGTATTTTGGATCATTGGTTGAGAGACTAGTAAAGTTAAGAAATTTGGAGTTTGACCATGGTGAATATCGGGTAAGACGACCTCTTTTCAGTGTTTTAAGTGCGCGAGCAGGTCCATAGCGTGTTTTATGATTGAAATTCATATACGATTTGTGTCCGGGAGGTTCCAGATGAGTTTCGGGGTGGTTTCGGATCATTTCGGAGAAGTTTGGGTTTGCTGGTTTTCTGGTGAGGCACTGTTCATTCGCAATTGCGAACACGGTTCATTGGAGTTTACTGTTCATTCGCAAATGCGAAGTTTTTGTCCGCAATGCGAACCTGGGCAGAAGACTTAAGGATTGAAACTTGGTCATTTTTCCATTTTCGTTTTGGATTTTGGAGCTCGGTTTTTGGACGATTTTGAGGAGTTCTTCACAACTTTGACTTGGGTAAGTGTTCTATATCCGAAAGTGATTATATTTCATGATTCCATGATTATATTCATCAATTATTAGTGAATCAATTGGAAGAAAATGAGATTTTTGGCAAAATCTTTCAAAAACGAAAAAATGATGATTTGGAGGTCGATTCGTTATCGGAATTTGATAAAATTGGTATGGTTGAACTTGTATCGGAATGGGTTGTCGGATTTTGTGAGTTTTGTCGGGTTCCGGGCACGTGGGCCCGGGGGTTGACTTTATTGACTTTTCTAGCGGAGCTGGGAATTGTTATAAATTGATTTATTACGAGTATTAGAGTATATTTTTATTGGTTTGCACATTGTTTGACTAGTTTTGAAGCGACGGGTATCGATTTGAGGTGTTAGAGTGGCGTTGCAGCCGGTTATGGAACTTCGAGCGAGGTAAGTCTCCTGTCTAACCATGTGAGGGGGAAACCACCCCCTAGGGTGATATTTATTGTTATGTGCAACTAGTTGTGGGTGCTACGTACGCACGAGGTGACGAGAGTTCGTACGTAGCTAAAGCATATTTATGTCTGGGTAGACTTAGGACTTTATCATCTAATATTTGAATTGTTTGGACTCATTTTGCTAGCTTAATTAATTGAAATTTTAACTTAAATTGATTTAGAAACATATAAATATATTAGGCCGAGTTTTATCACCTTGAGTTATTGCCAAGATATTTGATAAATGTAAAGGGGTATATTTATTATTGTGCCCATGTACTGTGTTGTAAGCATGTGTCTCGTAATTCGATAACTTCCTTTCTTGTGGAGCGGGCCGAACGTCTCGGCAGTATAATAGATGCATCTATGGTTCGTGCCGCTCGACCCTCGGCATTGTACACATTATTCCGGATCGGGCCGGACGACCTCGGCATAATCGTGCGTTATATCGCTGGTAGTCCGAACATTCGCGAGATTATCTTTCCACTGATACCCGGCATTTTATATGGTATTCCTTATTCATTTGATATTGGCACTTGACATTTTCTAAGCCGTTAAGGTAGAATACAAGATTGAGAAATTTATACTTTAAAAGAAATATTTGGAAGATTATGTAACTTACAGATTCACCCCATTATTGTTGTGTGCTTCATATCTGCTTATGAATTATTATATTGCTTTATTGGACCTCTAGTAAGTGTCGATGTCGACCCCTCGTCACTACTTTTCCGGGGTTAGGCTAGATACTTACTGGGTACGCGTTGATTTACGTACTCATGTTGCACTTCTGCACTAAATATGCAGGATCTGACAGGTTCATTTGGTGATCATCTTGGCGCGTAGGTGCACCTGTTGAGGGGACTTTATGTGAGCTGCATTCCAGGCTATGCATCGCAGTCCACCAAGTCTCCTTCGTACTATGTATTTTATCCTGTCTATTTACATTCTGGACAGATGTTGTATTATTATTGTACTTCTTAGAAAATGTTCATGTACTTGTGACACCGGGTTTTGGGGTTATACTAGTTGATGCTTACGGTTTTGTATATTATTATCGCCTTCCATTTCTTTTATAAACTACAAATGTTGTACGTTCCCGTGGACTTAGAAGTGTAAATCTCCTTCCTTATTAAAATCTATGTTTTCGAAAGTAATAAAATGAGTAATTAAATTGATAAATCACCGTTGGCTTGCCTGACGGCGGCGTTAGGCGCCATCACGACCTATAGTGGATTTTGGGTCAAGACATGATGTCTTGACGGGAAGGCTCGGTCCGTACATAACCTGAAGCATAGGTCTTTGTACCAATTAGCTATATGGTGCAAACTCGAAAATATATATGAAGTAGATTCATCGATTGAATTCCTAACATTTCTACAGGAATAGATGTAAGATCAAGTATAACTTTTGTACTCTCCCAATATTATCTTAGTGCTGGTTTTTGCACATCAAAAAAATATTTCATTGCCAATAAATATATCAGGGAAGATTTTGTTACAGTACTTCAAACCAAAGGCCAGCACTTCTTACATGCTTTGTTAACTACTGTAATTCGCTTTACAAGACAGGAAAGAGCTTTGTCCATTGATAGGGCAAGAAAGTAAAGACTGCCACTACATATAATGAGAAAAAAGGTTACAATAAAAGGATTACAGAGTGAAATGCAGTAACTAGTCAGACGCCACTGGATAAATGACAAAAGAAATTTTAACTAGAGGGACGGCCAGGAAGCAGGCGCAGCAAATGCAGCTTAAGTTTTGCCAGTACAAATATCTCTATTTCATGCATAATTACGGCAAGAACAATCTAAGCATGTCCTTGCAAAAGCTAGAAGTGATCAAAACAAGACTGCTGACCTTCAACTTGGAAATTGATCATCATGATCAGACATATTCACTGAGTGCTCTCAGGTTGTTTCGGAGAGCCTTCAATGGCCTTTGCGGCTTCTATAGCTGAGTCTCTTCTACTAATGACTTTTGAAAGCTCCTCAACCTTATCCTTCAACATGCCAACATTAGAATTGGTCGAGTGAACCAACTTGTTTGCAGTCTCCAGAGCAGTGCATAGCTACAACGCAATAAAGAAGCAAAATCTCTTAGTAAAGTGAAAACATACACAGAAACAGATTTAGAGTCTCTTTCCTCTCTCTCTCTCTCTCTTTATATTTTTTAATGGATAAGAACAGATTTAGAGTCCATTTTGGTATCAAAATGGGAAATCCGGAAACGAGCAGATGTAAAAAGGGAATTGTGTGACCAATTACTACATCTGCTTATCCTCCGTTTACCTATTTTGGTAATAATAGAAGCATAGACTATATACGATACGAAATTAATACTCCACGTCAAACATGAAAAGATGTACAGCTGTAAATCATTATGTCACTAGATTCAATTGGTACATATTACTGCAACACCAAATAAAGTTGAATACAAAATATTTAAGATCCTGAAGATCAACATATAAAAAACATTGTGTCTCAATCTTTTGGTACTCTCTTCCTCATCGAGGTATCCTCTATAACTTCTCCTATGAGATCAACTTCTATTACCTCTAGTGTGAGATGCGTCCATGAATGATCTGTACCAGCAAGTGCTTTGTTCAGCTGCTCATAGTTTTCCTAAACAATAAGCAAAACATTAAGTTGATATATAACTAAAAGATCTAAAGGAAGATTAATACCAGTATAATCAGAAAGTAAAACGAACTCCTAGACATTAAATTATATCAAGTAGTGCTTTTAACAGACGTCACAGAAAAGCAGATTGTTCCCTTCCAAAACAAACTATCACCGCGTACGCTGATATTAAACTCCCCAATTGAGGTGCAAACTATCCTAAGCCAGGCTGAAGCAGGAAACAGGTGAACTAAACATAATTCACTGTGTCACAATAGTCTATTAAGCCTCACAACATTTGCTGATCAAAATTAATTGCTAGTAATAATCACAATTTAGGTTTTTGCAAGGTCCTACAGGGATTTTTATGTGTTATAGAAAAAGAAGTCCCCTTTCATTTCTTTTCTGTTTATCATCCCATCATAGCCTAACTTTCGTCATTAAGAACCAAATGCTTGCAGGAGAAGTAGTAGACCTTAACCACCATAGGGAAAAAAATTTGTCAACTTAATTTCAGCAGCAAGAAAACAAATTATTTCGAGCATATTGCTTTCACATACATCAGAATTTTGACACTGAATGGAGTAGAAAATGCATACACACAGATTGTAACATAATGTGGTGCATGCAGTTTCCAACCTCCTTATATTATCCAAATAGTAGTATCAGAATTCTTGCCGCAGCAATTCCTATTGTCTACTGCAAGCTTTTAAGATTTTAACTAACTTCAGAGATAAATATCAGTTTCCAGAGCATTTGTGTTCACAAAATTATAGCACTAACTAAAAATAATTTTGTGGAATAAATCTTAGGAGGAGCGTTTCCCCTTTAATAGGAATTATTCTGCGAGAATGTGATTAGTCGGGGACCCAAAGCGATATCGGACATTTGATCATTGTCCGAATTATGTAGAGGGAAGTTGTCCAAAAAGACCTAACATCACTCGGAACTAATGCAGAATTAACTACGAACAAACACAATGGAGAAAAGGATCTACAAATGCAACATCAACTAGTCAGTATTAAAGCTGAGTGTTGTTACACAGGCACAGTAATAGGCTAGTCTTTTGGTTTGGACTCACCTGTTCAATCTATAACATTCACCTAGCTTATCGTCATAGAAGTTTGAAAAAATTAAGTCCTTAAAGAGAAACTATAGGACGAAGCAAGTACAGTAATAAAAAGAAAGAGTATAAAACCTGGAAGAGGTTGTTTAGATCGGAAGGATGGAGGCTGGAATTGTAGTCCGGTGAAGGTGTTTTGATGGGGCGCGGTGGAAGCTGATCACCGCCGGCGTCACTTTCTCCGACGTCGCTGAGCAGATCGCCGATGCATAACAATGGCCCTCCCACCCCTCTCATCTGTCTCGCTCTCTCTCTCGGTTTGGGTAAAACTGATCCAAATGAAATCAAATTCTTCTGTTTGTAAAGCCACGGGCTAATTGGAATTGGTCAGGGTACTAATTACACCGTCTGTTAATTATACAATACTATAATTACCGTGACATATTTGTTTGTCACGATGTAATTACGGTTTAATTTAAGTGTAATGTTTGACTATTGTCACGATTCAAAATTTCAAGTGTCGTGATGGCGCCTATGATCATACTAAGTAAGTCGACAACTCACATATACCAACATGTTGAAATTTAAAATATATGAAAATAAGCTTAAGTAAGGAAAAGTTTCATAAAACTGAATGAAAACGTCACAGCTCAATACAAAATTTTCCAAAACTCGGGTGTCACTGAGTACATAAGCTTAAGCCTGGAACCAAAATATTGCAAATGTTGACTCAAGCGACAAAAATAGGTAAAAAAAAGTGTTAAATACCATATTATGTATAGCACATCTAAAACATGAGCTATACCGTAACTGCCAGTTACCCCGTTAAAGTAAAGCGCATGTAATAAATGCGCTATACTCAGTATTTGCAGTCATAATAATTCACTGCATAGCGCATCTATCATATGCGTTATGTATAATCTCAAGTATAAAGAACCATTCCTCGTGTCATAATAATTCACCAATTTAAATCACATGCCAAAGCTTCAAGTAATAATCTTTGTGTTTTTCTTTGTAAAAAGGAGAAATGGTATGCGAAATGGTTCGTGCATTGGAATGTCATGTTGCGGAGGCTGCCTTTTATAGAATTCTCAATTCCTTTAGATTTATTATTATAGTACTATGTAGTCACATAAAATATTATGGATCATGACATGCAGAATTAGTAAAATAAAAATATTTATAATAGCTAAAAATTCATATTGATAGTGTATAATGGTGGTAAAATGGATTAAAATAATAATTACTCGTTCATATTATCCACTAAAAGATAGGTTGGATAATAAACTTTATAAAAATGAGTCAAATATGAATCCACTTAAAAATATATACTTCATGGATAATCAATGGGCTTAAATTTTATATTTGTAAAGATTCAAATTGAGAGTTTCTCAAAATTAGGAGACTAGAAATTTCCAAAAGTGATCACATTCAGGAAGCAAGGGATAATATGTGTATTCATATTATAAATCGGTTAACTCATTTTCTATTCGTATTAAATATGGCAAGCCGGGTATTTTATCTTTTTTTTAATTACCCATTTTTAATTCACACATATCCGATCCGACCCACCCATTTTTCACCCCTAGTAGTGTATTCTTACTGATAGGTTATGAGTATATTTCAATGATATTTGACCTTACAAGATCTTTTTTTCAAGATAAACAATCACAACACGTGTGCGGTGAAACACCACGTCGTAGAGGTTGCCTATCGTGACATGTAGGGAAAAACACATGTTGCCGTTTTTATGAAGCTTTGGCATGTGATTACCTGAAGCTTTGGCATGTGATTTCAATTCGTGAATTACATAGCGCATATAATAGATGCGCTATGCAATGAATTATTATGACTATAAATACTAAGTATAGCGCATGTATTACATGCGCTATATTTTAACGGGGTAACTGGCCATTAAGGTATAGCGCATGTTTTAGATGTGTTATACATAATATGGTTCTCAACAATTTTTTCCACTTACTTTTATCGCTTGAGTCAAAATTTGCAATATTTTGGTTCCGGACTCCATGAGCATCTATACAAATACATAGTCTGATACATTGTCTAAGAAAATAGAACTGAATAAGTAAAACTGAGGGATAGGGGAGGAGAGTCAAGGTTTGCGGACGCGAAGGCAGCTACCTCGATAATCTTCGAACGGCTGAAAGCTCTTAGATCAACAACCACTGTGCCCGGAAATGCCTGGATCTGCACACAAAGTGTAGGGTGTAGCGTGAGTACAACCAACTCAATAAGTAACAAGTCTAAACCTTTGGACTGAAAGCAGTGACGAGTCCGAACAATACGGTTCAAATACATAATTAAATAGTACGAAAATTTATAGAACATATGACAGTAATATCTCAGAGAAACTCATAATTTGCAAGTACCAGTACATGAATGTAGACATACTTCCAGGTTTAACAATTAAACTCAGAACAGATAAATATGTCAAGTCTGAATGATATGAGAAATATGACATCTCTAGATCTATATGCCAATATGCATATCGTATATGATGCAACACAATAAAAGCCTCGCGTACTCACACTCTCGGAGTACTCAACCTGACTGTCTCAATTCTTACTCATCACACTCAATCACTCAGTACTGTACAGGGCAAATCCAGCCCGAATCATATATCGTGAATCAATAGCAATTGCGCTCACTGTGGGTGTGCAGACTCCGGAGGGGCAGATCCATCCCAAGTGCTATAATAAGCCAATCATGGCATGAATCAATAAAACCTACTGCGGCGTGCAGCCCGATCCCATAAATATCACTCATAAACAGGCCCTCGGCCTCACTTAGTCATCAATCTCTCCAGTCTCTTGGGCTCACAACACTCATGCTAAGCAGCCCAAATCAATGATACGTGATGTGACAATGTATGATAACAAAGACTGAGATATAATATGCAATGATAAATGCGACTGAGTACATAATTGCAATTAAGCAAATAACTCAACAACAAAAAACGACCATTGTGGGTCCCAATAATACCATCACATAGCCTAAACATAATTTCTAGCATAAATCACAGCTCAAGTATTCTAACACATAGAGTACAGTAATAATATTTAGATAAGATAGCTAGACAGTTCCACGGAATTGACTAAATCACAATTACTATGGTGCACGCCCATACGTTCGTCACCTAGCATGCGTGTCACCTTAACACCAATCACATAACACGAAATTTCAGGGATTCATACCCTCAAAACCAAGTTTAGAAGTGTTACTTACCTCAAACCGTGCAAATCTCTACTCCAACAAGCCCTTGCCATGCGAATCGACCTCTGAATGCCTCAAATCTAGCCACAAACAATTTGATACAATCAACTCAAGCTATAGGAATCAATTCCATATGAAAATGCTAAGTTCTTAATCAAAAATTTAAAAAGTCAACTCAAAAGTCAACCCCAGGCCCACGTCTAGGAATCGATAAAAATTATAAAATCCGAACACCCATTCAACCACGAGTCTAACCATACCAAAATTACTCAAATCTGACACCAAAATCCCGCTCAAATCTCCAAAATTCGGCCTAAGAAGTTTCCTCTATTTTTCCCCAATTTTTCAACCCAAATCACTAATTAAATTATGAAATCAAATATATATTCATGTAATTTAACCAAAACTAAGTAAGAATCACTTACCCCAATCACTCCCTTGAAAATCTCTCCAAGAATCGCCTCAAACCGAGCTCCCAAAATCAAATTGTGAAATAAACTCAAACCCTCGTTTTTGAAACTTAAATTCTGCCCAGATATCCCTCAATCGCGATAGCGAAAAATGTTTCGTGATCGCGAAGCACAAACTAAGTTGCCCAAAAATTAAACCTACGCGAACGCGACAATCTCCACGCGAACGCGAAGCACTGCCTCCTCAAACCTACGCAATCGCGTCCCTCTTCACACGATCGCGAAGAACAAAAACGCGTGAACTCAGCTCCTACCTCATTTCCTCTTTGCGAACGTGGCCTAGCCCACGCGTTCGCAATTCACTACTTCACTAACCTATGCGATCGCAGCCCTCAACTCGCAAACGCGTAGAGTAAAAACCCTAGCTTCCCAAATAATACTTCGCGATCGCGGACCTATCCACGCGATCACATAGAAGGAAACCAGACCTGTACACCAGAAAAACTTGAGCAATCTTCCAAGTTCCATTTCACTCTGTTAACCATATGAAATCCACCCGAGGCCCCCGGGACCCCAACCAAACATACCAACAAGTCCTAAAGCATCATACGAACTTAGTCGAGGCCTCAAATCACATCAAAAATACTAATCGCACCCCAATTCAAGCCTAATGAACTTATGAACTCCTAACTTCTACATTCGATGCCGAAATCTATCAAATCAAGTCCGATTGACCTCAAACTTTGCACACAAGTCATAAATGACACAACAGACCTATTCCACTCCGGAACCAAAATTCGAGCCCGGTAACCACAAAGTCGACTCTCGGGCAAACTTCTCAGTTTCCAAAACTTCTAATTTTTCAACTTTCGCTATTTCAAGCCTAAATCAACTACAGACATCCAAATTACTATCCGGACATACTTCAAACTCCAAAATCACCCAACTGAGCTATCGGAACCATCAAAACTCCATTTTGGAGCCATTTACATATAAATCAACATCCGATCAACCTTTTCAACTTAAACTTCTAACCTTGAGACTAAGTAACTCAACGCATTCCGAAACATCCTCGGAACCGAACCACTACCCCGGCAAGTCACATAACAATAATTTAGCATAGAATAAGCAGTAAATGGGAGAACGGGGCTACAATATTCAAAACGACCGGCCGGGTCGTTACAGCTGGACAAGTATAATTACACAGTTAGATTAAATTTTAAATATAAAGTTAATTATAAAAAATTAAAAATTAAAAATTAACAAATATATGCCTTTATAAATAAAATTAAATTTGACATTTAAGATACATAAAATTTCTTTAAAATATATTAACTACAAATCATATATTTGTAATTAATATTGTAAAAATAATTAACATATATTTTTTGGACCGCAGGCTTGATAAAAAGATTAATATTTATAAATATAATATCATAACATTACTCAAATATTTTAAGAAAAAATAATCTATCAATTCTAATAGAAAAATCAATAGCATGCAATCTGAATCAATAAGTCAATACTACTAAAGCAAATAAAATAGAATCGAAAATATAACATAAATTCAAAATCCAAAAAATATAACATAATACTCTATGTAAAATTACAACATAACATCAAAATAAGTTTCAATATAATTTAAGTAAATATAATTCAAAAGAAAAGAAAAACATAAGTCTATAACCTCATTCAATAATGAGATTCTACTTTAATGATATCACTCATTATTTGTCA